AAGAAATCGAAAATCTATTAAACAAAATGTCTCTAACGAATTTCCATTTTAGGGCCAAATCCGTCAAAACTTTTAAACTCTTTTACTCAATACGAATGAAAAATGTCTCCTAATGTAACACGATAATACATATTTGTTTAACAATAACAATAATAATAATAATAATAATAATAATAATAATAAATAATAATAATAATAATAATAATAATAATAATAAAAATAACATAATAATAATAATAATAATAATATTAATAATAATAATAATACTAATAATAATATTGTAATTGTAAACTGTGCGGAAAATACAACGTCGTGACAAAATTTCGAGACGATCACCGAATGAAATCTCTTTTGATATTTTTATGGTTGAATATTTTAAACAGAATAAATTTCAACCTTTTTTCTTTTTTTTTTCTTTTTTTTTCTTTTTTTTTTTTTTTTTTTTTTTCATATAATCTCTATGTTTCTTTTTTTTTGTCTTTCTTTTATTCGTCTCTTCGATAATACGAAAACATAAACAACGACAACGATGACACCAATAACAACAACAACAATGACAACAATAACGACAACAACAACAATAGGAGATTCAAGCAAGCTGCACAGATGTCTGTGAGAGTTGCGAAAAGAAGGTATATCCACTTGAGAAGGTCGAAACAAATAACAAAATTTTTCACAAACAGTGCTTCCGATGTCTTCAATGCAATTGCGTTTTAAGGTATTTATCAATCATTATAAAATCATTATGTAGATTATAATTTCACAAATTTAAAAAATTATAATAAAATAATATACTATATTATTGCATTATAATGTATTGGTAAATTATTACTAATAAATATATATATATATATATATATATATATATATATATATATGTTTAATTATTATAAAAAGAAACATAGTACATAGAGTATGTTAATATATTTATATATAAAAAAAAATATTTATATAAAAAGAAGCATATATATATATACACACACACATATAATTTTTATTAATTTATTTAATTTTCTTTTTATTTTCTTTTATGTTTCTTGTTTGTAAAACAGGATGGACACGTTTACGTTGAACAACGGTAAATTATATTGCATCCCACACTTCAAACAACTTTTTATAACTCGAGGCAATTACGACGAAGGATTTGGCGTAGATCCACATAAGAACAAATGGGCGACGAGCAACGCGAATCAAGCTAACGTATCGCCAATCGCAGTTTCAAACGGTGACCTCTGATTGCCCCCGTCGTTAATCAGCACATTAATTTTGTCTGATCAAATTTCCACATTCTGCGATCAATCGAGGGATCGCGTTTTATAATAACAATACATATTCCGATTATTCTGTAAATCCCCTTTTCATTTTTATTCGTGATTAGAGACGAAAAGAAAGATCAAAGACGAGGACGAAACAAAAAAGAAAAAAAAAACAAAAACAAAAAAAAAACAATTGGCAGTCGGAGCAAGCGACGTTGTCATTTTAAATTTTCAAGTTCCAACAATAATAAAAGGGCCTGAAGGGAGGGGGAAGGGAAGAGAGATTATACTAGCCTCTTTTTTCTTTTTCTTTTTTTTCTAAACAAAAAAAAAAAGATTCATTCGAAAGTAAAATAAAAACGAAACTGAAGAAAAATGAAAGGAGAGAAGAGAAAAAAAAGAATAAAGAAAAAAAAGAGTAATATGAAAAAAAAAGAAGAACAATGAAATATAACAAATGACATACAATTTTATTCTCTCGAAATCATTATAAATTTTAATGAGAGAAATAACAAATGTACGAAACGCAAGAGATAAAAGAAAAAAAAAAAAAATAAAGAAATATACGTATATTCATAACATGGCGGCGAACGCCGACGGCGCCATGTTGTAGAGAAGAAAAAGAGGAAGATATAGAAAAAAAAAAAAAAAAAAAAAAAAAAAAAAAAAAAATGTTGATCTCTCGCTAGAAAAAGGAAAAAAAGAACTATCAAACAAATCGTATTAATTATCGAAGTATGTCAGACGCTTTATTTCTTTTTTTCTCTTTTGCTTTTTTCTATTTATATTTAAAGTAACAACGTCGATGTCGACTTTATGTAAAAACTTTTCCAACATTATTTTCTTTTTTATCCTTTTTTTTTTTAATTATCATCATCATTATTATTATTATTATTATTATTATTATTATTATTATTATTATTATTATTATTATTATTATTATATTCCTACTTTTTATCTACGTCGTCGTTCGTTTTATCTTTCAAAAATATGTAAATTCTGAAAACGTGTAAACACGAATTTTTTTCGTCTCTCATCCCAATATAATATACTTATTACTTGTTTTGTTTATATAACTATTTTCTTTTTTTTTATCTTTTTATTCCTTTTATTTCTTTTCTTTTTTAGAAATAACAATAACTCTCACGCGACTTTTTATTTGCATATAAATCTCTTTTGGTCCAATCCTTAAATAAGTATTGGCCAACACAACATATTTATTATTCCCTTTCGCTACGTGTTCGTACGCATATTTTCTTTTTATTATTATTATTATTATTATTATTATTATTATTATTTAGATTATTATTTAGATTATTATATTATTTTATTATTATTATTATTATTATTATTATTAATTATTATTATTATTATCATTATTATTATTATTATTAAATTATCATCTCGTATGTCTCGTCACGTAATTACATCGAACGATCTTAAACGTTCCTAAAATGATGTCATTTAAACGAAAATAAAATGAGAAAAACAAAATCGAACGAAAGAAAGAGAAAAACAAAAAAAAATTATTGAGAATTGGATGAATTAACGTGTTTGAGAGATACGAATGCGTTACACATTAATTATATCCGACGATATCATTGTTTCGAATTGTATTTTAAATGATCGTAATAGATTAACGTTATAACAACTAACGCGTTCAAATACACACACACACACACACACACACACACACACACACACACACAGACACATATTCGTATATTATATGTACTTTAAAATATTTACTTGACTTTTTTGTCGTTTAAATTAATTTCAAAAGCATTGAAAGAATATAAAAGGAAAGTTCTAAAGGAAATAATGAATTCATTTAAGATCGACAAGATATTTTCAATATGATCTATGGGGATCTACAAATTTTTATAGATTTGTTCGTGGACAGTCCTGGTTTTACATAGTTAATTTTATATATACAAATCTTTATTGGATTTTAATCGAAAATTTTATTGCATTAATATATATATATATATATATATATATATATATATATATATATATATATATTAATTAATTAAATATATAAGAATTTTATTTGAAATATGAGTTTCTTTGATCGTTTTACCGATTAATCACAAATGATGGATTATATTGCATAGATAAGTTCATTGCGTCGCGTTCGGCATTGAAACGAAAATAAAAGAAAAGAAAGAAAAAAAAAAAAGAAAAACAATAAATGAATAAATAAATAATTAAATTCTCTAATCCGCTGACAATTTCGAATAGTTGCAATATTTCTGAAAAAGATAATTTATTTCATAATTCTATATATATATATATAAAATTTTAATTCAGATTTGAACACTTTCCGTCGCGAGATTCGCTTCTGAATCGTCTGTTATAAAATTATTATTATTATTATTATTATTATTATTATTATTATTATTTTTTACTTGTATCGCTCTTGGTATTATTTTACTATGTACGTTGTATAATATAGTATATCAAATGCGCTTTATATATCTCCTATAAAAATTAATCCTCGTTAATCCTGATCATTTATTATGCACATATTTATATCTAGTATAAACGTATGGTATTATCGTTGAATACTCATATCCATTTGTATAATTAATTTTGAATTTTTTTTTACGTAGGGGCTTTTTTTCCTTTTTTTATTTATATTATTCTTTAAAATGTATTATGATTTAAAGAAAAAAAAAATTATTACAATATATATCGATAATTACGTTTTACATGTATCTAAAATAATACTTCCGATGATAACTTACCATGATGACGTCGTTGTCTCTTGATCATTTTAAAATCTGTTTTAATTCTAATTGAGAAAAAATATAACACTAAGGTTTTCTTTTTAACGTAACGTTTGATACATTTGATGTTTAATATATATATATATATATATTTTTAATAAAACAAATATTGCACTTATCTATTTTCACATAATCAGAGAAACGAGTAAATTTATTATGCTAAAGGAAATATAATCAAACGTTTCTCGAGCATTGAAAACAACTGAAGGACCTAACCAAAAATTATTGAAATCTGATTGGTTGGACAAAATTGTCGCGCTGATTGGATAATCAAGATCACGTGACACTGCGACAGTCATATTGTTATAAGTAATAAATAAATGTTCGTCCAGGTAAGACATTCATTTCTCTTCCTTATTTGGTTTAGTCATCTACGGTCGTTTCATTTGATAAACGTTAGTGACAAAAATTAAATATCATAAAATTATATGTTAATAAATTGTGATCATTATAATCTGAAGGTAAGTAGAGAAACTTTATAAATGATTATAAAAGTGAAAATTAAAATCGATATGCTTTTGATAATCGATACTATTATTATCAACTTAAAATCGATGTAATTTTAATACTTGTATTATTTCAATTTTTATTATCGAAATTAATATATTAATGAAAATCGTAAAAAATACCTGTAATTTTTCGATCGATTTTTTTTTTCCATCTTTATGATAGATTCTATAGATAGAATCCGATAGGCTTTTCATTTGTCATTAAGGAAAAAAGAAAAAAACTTGAACTAGTTTTAAATTCATTTGTAAAATAGTATTATTATACTTTCATTTCGTACATTTACATTTTTACTGGTTATGTTTTTTTTTTTTTTTCTTATATAGACTACATTTTTTTTCCATGGACGTCATCGTGAAGAAATAAATGAATTTTTAGGAAGAATAGTTTTACATTATCAGTAAGTTTCTATGAAAATAATTAAAAATAATTTTATTATATTTTCAATTCTTCATTCGTTGCGATATATATATATTTAATTGTAACTTAATTGTAAAAAATAAATAATTAATTCTTGCGCTGAAAAGTTTTTTTTTTTATAAACTTCTTTTCTTTTTCTTTAAGCACGTCGTATTTTATTTAAATATATTAACTGCGCAAAATGAAAAGTTGTTTCATATATCTGTCTAGTTTTACATTATTCGGAAATAATACTTTCAATTCTTAAATATAGCGCTGTCTTACGTAGTGAAAAAAGTGCCCTAGAGATGGAGCTATCGTCGCGAGAAATTTTCTTACTAATGGCGTCATCTCTCGATTACTTTTCTACTACTTGGTTTGTAATTCTAATTGAGAAAAGAATAGCGACGACAAAACGATAAAACTTTTTATATATCGTAACAAGTTTTATAAAACGAATGTTTTATATAACAAAATTCTACTTCCGCATAATCAAAAAAAAGAAAAGAAAATGAAAAAAAAAAAATGAGAATTTATGATAGAAGTGAAATAATCAAACGTTTCTTCTGTTTGGTTAGGTCTATAGGAACGTAAATTACTGACGGGGATTGGCTGAACGATATTGATACGCTGATTAGCAAGAAACGTCGTCTCTTGACACAACTTTAGCCGTGTTTTTATACCCACTTAATGACAGGTAACAATAATGTAGTATATTGTGAAATCACATTTATTTGTTTTCTTTACTTTTTATTATCTCAAGTGTTGTCATTGTTAGATCTGTAAATTTGTGATTAATATTTTAAAATCGATCAATTATACGAGATATATATTATTTTGGAATTTATTAAGAACATCTTTAGTTAATTCTCAATAGACTGTAAGTAAATGAACATGAAAAATGAGTTATATGGAAATTAACTCATATGTTATCTTTATTTATCTATTCATTCTTAAATATCATTGCCGTTAATACGATATATTATTGATTTTTTCTTTAAGAAACTAATTAGCTATCTAAAGATTTAATATTTTCAATTTGAATATTTTTTTCTTTCTCTTTTTTTTTCTTTTTATCTATTCTTAGAAATAGTATTATCCTTTATATTATAGACTAAGATAATTAATTGTTATTACGAATATTAATATATATCGAATATATAATCTTTGTTAATTAAGTTATGTGTGTATTGAAATTTTATTGCTTAAAAAAAAATGAATAATCTCAATCTCAAACAAAAAAGAAATTAAAACATTCGATTATATATATACACATATGCACGGGGTATTAAATAATCTAGAGCCGAGTCTGTCCTTATGGTACGTTTTCACAAAACTGATGGATTTACTAACGGATGATAATGATGAATCCTCAAAGCATCCTTTGTTTAATATAATAAATAAAAATTTTAATTCAGAAGATGCCAGTCGATACTTTTTAATATTACTGGCACGATTAAAAATGTTAAAAATTTTAATTAATGCAATTTTTGTAATTGTAAAATCGGAGAATTGATTTTTTTTTTGTTTATCAATTACTTTGTAAAATGTGATCAAATTATAATTTTATTTCGGTAATTTGTGTGAAATCGATTTAAACAATAAACATTTTAAAATTATTATTAAATAAATTGTAAATACATATATAAAAATTTAGAGTCTGTATAAAATAATAATGATTTAAAAATTGTATTTATTTATTTTTATTTGTTAAATTAACTCTATATATAAAGAAAACAATTATATATAAGATACAAAATTATATGTATATAAAATAAAAATATATATAATGAAGATTACGATATATAAATTTAAATTTTAATCGAAATTGATTATCTTCATGGTATAGTTTTTAATCATTTATATAAATTATCATTAAAAGAACATTTCTAACTATTAGAAATAATTTTTCGATAATATGAAAATTTAGAAATATTGTATATATACGAAAATAGAGATTAGGTATAGCGAGATAGTTCGAGGTTTTTCAAAAAAAATTCATTCGTTGGAATATTTCAGATACTGAAGGAGAAAATGTTGGAAATTTGCGTGGACACAATTGAGTCGGCAAAGAATGCGATTATAGGTGGTGCCGGAAGATTGGAGATATGTTCGGCTTTATCGGAAGGTGGTTTAACACCAACAATTGGTTTGGTGAAAACAATTCGTAATTTAACGAATATAAAAATCTTCGTTATGTTACGCATTAGAAGCGGAAATTATATTTATTCACGTGATGAGATGAATGCCATGTTGAACGATTTGCAAATGTTTAAGGATTCACGAATAGTAAATGGTTTTGTTTTCGGTGCTTTGACGAATGATCGTGAAATCGATATACTTTATTGCAAGGAAATAATAAAGACAGCTGGTGAATTACCCGTAACGTTCCATCGTGCTTTCGACGAATTACGTGATCCTTTGGAAGGAATTAAAATATTATCCAAAATCGGTTTCGCAAGGATATTGTCATCAGGACAAAAGGACACAGCCGAGAAAGGTATTAATGTATTGCAAATGATGTGTAAGGAAGCTGACGGAAAAATAATAATAATGCCAGGTTCCGGGATTACTCCTGACAATATATATAATATTAAATCAAAAACAAATGCTACGGAATTTCATTCTTCGGCTAGGAAAAAGAAAAAACTTTTTGTGAATGAAATTAATCAGATAAAAGTCGGTACAGTAGCCGAGGAAGTATTTGTCATGGTTACCGATATTCATTCTGTCAGAAAAATGAATCAAATAATTAGTAGTATTAATTTGTAATGCATTGACTGCATTTAATTATTGACTCTTTGAACTTAAATAATTTCTATTTTCTTTTTTGTTTTCTCTCCCCCTATCCCTCCCACCCTCTCTCTCTCTCTCTCTCTCTCTCACTCTTGAAGAAAAACAAAGACAAATAATTGCTTTAACCTTGTAGCAGAGTCAATTTTAAGTATTTATTATTATCATCCAAAGAGTGACGTTACGAATTAAAAGGATTTAATAGAACTAATTGACATTAGATGTGATTATCACTTTTATTTACGTTTTATTTGAAAGTGGATTATTTTTGAGAAGGTTTTTTTATTTTTTATTTTTTTTTTTTTTTCTATCTTCTCTCTTTTTTTTTCTATCTTCTTTTGCCCTTTTCCCTTTTTTTTTTTACATTGTTGTCGTCATAAGTGAAAGTTATTTTGATTTTTCATTAACATAATATCTTTTTTATTAATGTTAGTTCAAGTATTTTTTCTTTTCATCATTTTTCTTTTTTCTTTTTTTGTACCATTTAATTAACCTGCTCGTATATAAACATGAAAATAAGATACATTCGTATATAGAGCTAAATGATATAATAATACACGTATCTTTTAATTTCAAGATTATTAAAAAATGCATTACTATATATTATTTAATGTAAAATAGATGCAATATCTACTTTGAGATTGATGTTTTACGTGTTCTTCTTTTCAAGGTCGAAATGATAATCTTTAACTCTTGTAGATTTATTCCTTGTATTATATATTTTATTAATTTTTTGTCGGAATGGAGGAGAGAAAAGACAAAAAAAAAATGAAATAAAATAAAATAAATGAAAATTAAAAGAAAAGAAAAATAAACAAATATCAAAGTCAATAAAGTTGACGTTTTCATAGAGATCAATATTGCAGTATGATTTATTACTATGAATGTGTGAATGTTCGATTTTTGAAAATAAAAAAAAAAAAAAAATAAAAAAACTGCGCACCCTGGAGATGCAGAGTGATTTGAATTTTTAGATTAAAATTAACTTGTCCATCCGAATTAGAAACGATGATTAGTATTATTACCTTGTACAATTTTCTTGTCCACTATTATAAATCTCACGGTTATCTATTGTCAGGATGACGTAATGATGATTAATAAAAATACATAATATCGATCATTAAATTTCATTAAAGTTAACAACGTCTATAAATATTTTATTTTTTACGACGATTACGAGTCATTATTGGTCAGTTATGTATAACTTATTATCAAATTAAATTTAATAATTCGTTACAGTAAAATATAAGTTGGAATGGTCCATTGATTTGATGAAAAGAAAAAAAAATGTATATATATACTTTTCTTTTTTTTTTTTTTTCTAAATTTCATTTCGTGAAGTAAAATTTAACGATTTTAATAATTAAGCTAATAAACGGTATTTTAGAATATGCGATTGATTTTTTGTAAAACGAAAAAAAAAAAAAGAAATAAATATTTTTCAAAAACCAAATCATTTAAAATTCTATTTAACAATTTTTTTTAATATGAAATATAAGCTCCGTGGGGAAAATTTTTACGAAACATAGATATATTTCTAAATTCAAATAACTCAATTGATCTTTAATTTACAATTAAATTAACGATTATAAATAATAAACAATTAAATAATTAATTCGCAAGATAAATCTCATTAACGTTTGTCGAATATTAACTTACAATTTTTTTTTTTTTTTTTTTTTTTTTTTTTTTTTTTTTTTTTTTTTTTTTTTTTTTTTTTTTTTTTTTTTTTGAATAAACAATTTTCAAAAACGAAGCATCAAACGAAGGAACGAAAACTTAAATGTTCTTAACGATATCAATTAATTAATTTGATCGGGACATTTGTGTGGTTTATTATTTTGCTTATTTTTTTTTCTTTTTTCTTTTTTTTTTCTTTTTCTATTTCTTTCTTTTTTTTCTTTCTTTCTTTCCTCTATCTTATTATTAATAATTATTTTTATCTGATATAGCTTGAACTTTCACTTTGCGAGAACGACCAGCTAACTCGAAAGCTACGTATTAACGAGAAAGTAGAAAATACATTGTCTGTTGCAAATGTTTGCAAAATAGAGAAAGCATTGTTATTAATATATTATCGTTTGACGATTTCAAAAATTACAACAAAAAGAAAGAAAGAAAAAAAAAAATAAAAAACGTCACATATGTATAATTCTTTTCGAGATGATAGATAATATTCATTGTATTTCAATTCTATCGTTTATCATCTGATGTATTATGACTTTTCTAAGGTACATTGACCGATATATGTGTGTGTGGGTGTGTGCGTGTGTGTGTGTGTGTGTGTGTGTACCAGGTGACTCTCACGTGCTCCTTCAAATGCTAACGTAATCCACTGATTGACCTTTCCGATTGACATTGATGTCGTAATTGTGTAATGTATATACAATGAATACTATAAACATATAGCTAAGTATTGATCATACCAATTTCATAGTAATATATATATATATATATATATATATATATGTATATGTATATGTATATATATATATATGTATGTATCGTTAGTTACAATATATCTACATATATATATATATATATCGTTAGTTACAAAATTGTCTCGAAGTAAATTATAGTAAAAAAAAAAAAAAGAAAAAACAAAAAAAAGAAATTTAGATATAAATTCAGAAAGTTTTTCCTCCCTTTTCTTTTTCTATTCTGTGACAAAGCTGTTAAAAAAAAAAAAAAAAAAAAAAAAAAACATTTTTCTTTTTTTGCTTAGTTTTTTTTCTTTCAAACAATTACATCATTATTCTTCAAAGATATTCAATCGTTATTCTTAATTTTTTTTTTTTTTTATTTCGTAATGGCACTCCTAATTTTTCGTCGTAATGAAAAATATATGTCAAGCTTGCGGTTTTTAATTTTTTTTTACAATTTATTTCGTAAAACATCGGCCAACACATTGCATATATAAATGCATTTATTTACCACCAATATTATTTGCATATTTTCATTAACACAACGATGATATTATAATACACATATATACGATATATATATATATTTTTTTTTTCTTTTTCTTAAGCAATGGAGTTAATTTTTTTTTCTTTTTTTTTCTTTCTTTTTTTTTTTTTTTGAAAGAAAAATATCAACAGGATATTCAACATTTTAATACCCCATAATATGACGTAGATATAAATCTATACATATGTCTCCTTGAACTAAACATTTTCCTTTGAAAAATTAATTTCTATTATTATATATTAGTATATATAAAATTAATAGAGATTTGAATAACTTACACATATACCTTTTATATACATAAAAGTTATGTAAATAAATAAATTAATATACGACGTATATATATTTCTTAACTTGTTACTAAATTCGAGAAATGACCAATTCCAAATTTTGAAAATTAATTCGAGTAATGAGAAATTCCTAATTTAAAATATTAATCAGAAAAATGACTATATTAGTATATATTTACATAGTATATAATTCCTATTATTTGAAGTTAACTTGTCTAGATTATTAAAAAAAATATATATATATCTTTTTTCCATTTACATATTATTTATTTACATATTATACATAATATATATATATATATATATATATATATATATATATATATCTTCTAATATGGTCAAATTAAAATAGGTATGCGTGTATACACATATATACATTTAACGTATATATCAAGTAAAATTACATAGCATATACATATATTACATGAACTAGGACTTACATATTACATTGGAAGATAACAATAAGACCCGTTATTAAGGAGATCTTCATTCTTCGAGTTAAAATTTACAAATTAGAGGTAGAAAATGTTAAACACGTGTCACGTAGAACGAACTATGTGTGCACTACGAAGTCGCATAATCAATGGTTATGTTTATAGCTTTCACCGTGCATATATTGCACACTTACGACATCAATGTCAACCAGAAAGGCCAGTTGGCAAAATTACGCAACGTAAGTGTTTGCACCTGTGCGTGCAAGATTAGACATAATTTTTTCTTTTTCCTTTTTTTTTTTTTTTTTTTTTTTTATTACTTTTGGCAAAACACTAAGATTTGTCACTAAGCTCTTCCTTGATCTTTCTCTTTTTCTTTTCTTTTCTTTTTTTTTTTTTTTCTTCCACGCTCAACCATTTCATCAATTCGTTATAAGAAATTTGTGGTTTGATAGAATTAGATCTTAGAAGAAAAAAAAAAAAAAAAAAAAGAAAAAAATATATATATTAAAATTAAGTCGATGTCCTAACTTTCATTTTTGACGGATTTTTCTTCTTTTTCTTTTCTTATTTATTTTAGATTTTTATTTCTCTCTCTTCTCGCTCCCCCCCTCTCTCTGGTCCTATCTTTTTTCTTTTTGTTCGTTTGTTTTTTTTTTCCCCTTTTGACTTCATTATAATTTCACGTTTCATTTTTATGACTTTTTTCTTTTATGATCTTGGTTTTCGTTTTCATTTTCTTTTTGATTTTTCTCAAAGGCTTTCTAATCCCATCTATCATCTCGTTCAATTTGTTTGATCCTTCCTATTTTCTTTTCGTTCGTTATTTTTTTATTTTTTTTTATTTTTTAAAATTTTTTTTTTATTTCCTGTTCTTCCTCTTTTTTTTATGTTTCTTTTTCTCCCATGTCCTCATGTAGAAATTATATTTACTATTTGTGAAAAAGGAAATAATAAAAAACCGTATCAAGTAATCGAAAGTCGTAAGAAAATTTTGACTTGCTCAGTATAACGCACCCCTTTATAAAATGAAAAAAAAAAAAAAAGAAAGAAAAAATTACGAGAAAGATTCAGTGACGTGTGTCCAGTATGATGCAACTCAAACAGTGTCATAAAAATAAAAATCCGAAAGAAACTAAAAAATTCTAATCATTTTTTTTTTTATGGATTGCATAAAAACAAGATAAAAAATAAATTAGGAGGAAGTAAAGTCCTAATAAAAAGAAAGAGAGGAAAATTATATACATATATGTATACATATATATATTCTTTTGTTTACATTTCATTTATTTACATATTATTTTATATATATATATATATATATATATATATATATATTTCTAATATGGCTAAATTAAAACATGTATACGTGTATATGTATACATTTAACGTATACATATAACAAGTAACTTTACATATAAATATACACATATATTACATGAACTGGAACTTACATAATTACATTGGAAGATAAAAAATTATGACCAGCGGTCGTAAAAAAAAGAAAAAAAAAAGGAAAAAGGAGTAAAAAACGTCACGTTTAGGGGCAACCAAATGGGTTATTTCGTGCCTAAAATCTAAAACGTTCATCCGCTAGATACGGTT